TAATACACATCCGGTGCCGATTCGTTGATTTTTCCTGCTCTTGTGCCCCCCCCCCCTCCCATTTTAGGGGGGCCCCGACGGCCACATGTTAGATGTCCCCCTTGGAGCCCCAAGAGGCTTCAGGAAGCCCCAGGTGGAGCTTAGGAGGCCACAGGAGGCCCAGGAGGAAGCCCCAGGAGGTCCCCAGGAGGTCCCAGGAGGCCCCAGGAGGCCCACGCAACTCGGAGCTCTGAGACGCCGCGCTCGAGGTGGTCCGGCCCGTTTCGCCTGAGACTTCCTCGCAGCACGTTTCGCCCGAGACATCGTCGCACCTCTGGGGTCCGAGATGCCGCGCGCGAGGTGGTCGAGCCCGTTACGCTGGAGACATCCTCGCAACTCTAGGCTCCGAGATGCCCTGTGCGAGGTGGTCCGGCCCATCTCGCCTGAGACATCCTCGCAACTCTGAGCTCTGAGATGCCGTGCGCAAGGTGGTCCGGCTTGTTTCGCACAAGACATTCTCGCAACTCTGAGCTCTCAGATGATGCATAAGGTGGTCCAGCCTGGGGGCCCAGAAGACCACATGTTACATATCCTCCCTGGGACCCTGGGAGCCCCAGGAGGCCCCGGAGAGCTTCAGGAGGCCGCAGGACGCCCAGGACAGGCCCCAGGGGTCCGCAGGAGATTCCCAGGAGGCTCCCAGGAGGCCCCCTATCAGAACGTATCAAGTTAATACACATCCGGTGACGATTCGTTTATTTTCCTGCTCTTGTGTCCCCCCCCCCCCCCACATTTTGGGGGGTCCCGACGGCCACATGTTAGATATCCCCCCCTGGGAGCCCCAAGAGGCTTCAGGAAGCCCCAGGTGGGGTCCAGGAGGCCACAGGAGGCCCAGGAGGAAGCCCCAGGAGGTCACCAGGAGGTCCCAGGAGGCCCCAGGAGGCCCCCACAACTCGGAGCTTTGAGACGCCGCGCTCGAGGTGGTCCGGCCCGTTTCGCCTGAGACTTCCTCGCAGCACGTTTCGCCCGAGACATCGTCGCAACTCTGGGGTCCGAGATGCCGCGCGCGAGGTGGTCGAGCCCGTTACGCTGGAGACATCCTCGCAACTCTAGGCTCCGAGATGCCCTGCGCGAGGTGGTCCAGCCCATCTCGCCTGAGACATCCTCGCAACTCTGAGCTCTGAGATGCCGTGCGCAAGGTGGTCGGGCTCGTTTTGCACAAGACATTCTCGCAACTCTGAGCTCTCAGATGCTGCGCAAGAGGTGGTCCAGCCTGGGGGCCCAGAAGACCACATGTTACATATCCTCCCTGGGAGCCCCAGGAGGCCCCAGAGACTTCAGGAGGCCGCAGGACGCCCAGGACAGGCCCCAGGGGTCCGCAGGAGATTCCCAGGAGGCTCCCAGGAGGCCCCAGGAGGCCCCCTATCAGAACGTGTCAAGTTAATACACATCCGGTGTCGATTCGTTGATTTTTCCTGCTCTTGTGGCCCCCCCCCCATTTTGGGGGGCCCCGACGGCCACATGTTAGATATCCTCCCCTGGGAGCCCCAAGAGGCTTCAGGAAGCCCCAGGTGGGGTCCAGGAGGCCACAGGAGGCCCAGGAGGAAGCCCCAGGAGGTCACCAGGAGGCCCCAGGAGGCCCCAGGAGGCCCACGCAACTCGGAGCTCTGAGACGCCGCGCTCGAGGTGGTCCGGCCCGTTTCGCCTGAGACTTCCTCGCAGCACGTTTCGCCCGAGACATCGTCGCAACTCTGGGGTCCGAAATGCCGCGCGCGAGGTGGTCCAGCCCGTTACGCTGGAGACATCCTCGCAACTCTAGGCTCCGAGATGCCGTTCGGGATGAAGAGGACGTGATGGAGGAGGAGGAGGAGGAGGAGGAGGAGGAGGAGGAGGAGGAGGAGGAGGCATGTTTTAACATGCCATGCCAGCCCGCACTGGACGGGCACGCAATCGACCTTGGAAACCGCAAGGGTCTAAAAACCCTGTTTGGGGATACTGCACTCCGGCTATAATTTTGCAGGATCCCTCCGAAACACCTTACTATAAGCTTCCTCGGGGTGGTCTTTGGGAGGTTCCCTAAAGCCTTCCTCAGGAAGGTTTAAACCAAGTTTTTGGAGGAATCCTCCTACACGCCTTCCTAAAACGTTCCTCAGGAAGCGCGTCGGACCTCCAGTCGGTCGGTTCGGGCGTACTGGGGTCGATTGCAGGTAGCTCCACTGGTGGTATCTTGTCGTGAGCCGCATGCCTGTCTTTTTCGCGTGCCGGTGGAGTGTCCGTCTTGTAGCTCGGTACCTGTGCGCAGCCAGCTGGTCTGCCAGCCGTGATGTTTGCCCGTTGTACCCCGCGCATGGTCTCGCGGTTCTGCTCTGTCTCGTCATCGTTGAGCGCCGGCGCCGCTGCCATCCATGGCACCGCGCATGATGGGGTCGCCTGCAGGTGCGTGACCTGCCTGGCGTAAGTGTGGTGCTGGTAGCTGCATGTCATGCGCGCTGTGCCCTGTGCTCATCTCGCAGAGCGCGCAGCGCTCCCGTGGCGCTTGCAGAGGCGGGCGTAGTGGGCGCTCTTCTAGACAGAGGTCGCCCCACGCTGGTTGCACATCGCATTGGGCCTGGGCGGTGGCGGTGTAATGTCGGAGGGTTTCTGGTCCAGCTCGAATTCTCGGTGCCACCGTTCCGGGTGCGCTGTGTCCCCCTGCCCTCGTTGGTATCGTGGCGCCCCTCGCCTGGCCGCTGCTCTGGATTTGTGCGGCTCGTCGCGTGCAGCTCGTATCGCTTCGCGGGGGTCCGTTCTTGGTTCTGGTCGCTCGTCTGGGTCGAGGCAGTCGTATGACATTGTGGTGCCTTGGACGATCGCATTTGTCCGCCTGGCCCCATGGTGGTCCTCGCCAAAGAGCCTGAGCAGCACCGCAGGTCCGTGCAGCAACAGGCGTGGTAGGTATCGCAGCCTCCTCGCCCGTCTGGCGACTTCGCGGGGTAGCCTGCTGGCCTCGCTGAGTACATTCAATTTGCATGCCCTTTCCGCCTTGTCGTTGGTGGCGTGATGTCCAGTAGCTCGCCTGTATCCCTTCAGGATTTCCGCCGCCATCCCTTCTTTGCCAGCCTCGGTTAGGTTGCTCCAGCCATGGCCGTTGAATGACAGCGTGGATAGGACCAGTGAATCTTCGTAGATGACCTTTGTGTATGTATGGATGCTTCCCTCTTGCATATGTGTATGTTTGTGTAGTGGTCCTCTGCTCGCCATTGCCTTGTTGGTCCTCTTCTTGATCTCAGGGCCCATCATAGCTGTGGCGGTCACTACGGTGCCGAGGGCCGTCTGAGAGTCGACCAGTTCGACGGTTTGGTCGGAGTAGAAGCTGAGTATGCTGCTAATACCTTCTTTCGCCTTGTGCTCGTTGGTGAGGGCCTGTGCCGAATAGTAAGGTATGATATTGGTCTTTTCGGCGTTGGGTCGCATGCGGTATCATCGCACCCAGGATTCTAGTATCTTCAAGAGTGTGGTCACCGTTGTCGTAACCTGGCTTGGGGCTGTGGTGGAGTGTGCGGCTAGGTCGTCTGTCAAGGAGGCGTCTGTGAGCCATTCGCCGCCGTCATGCCCAGGGCTTGAGTGGCGTCCGTGTGCGAAGATGGGCTGCCGGTCGTTGTCGTAGCTGTTGTTGTAGTGAATTTCGTGCTCGATCATGTCCTCGACAATGGAAATGGTGTTGCGCACGAAGGCGACGTTGAAGGAGAAGTCGGACATTGGCACCCCTGGTCAGATGTCTGCTCGTGGCTGCGCAGCCTGGTTGGATACTATCGTTGTCGCGCATAAGTCTGTGTGAGCGTCTCGTAGCAATGCCAGGAAATGCTCGTCGTCGATGTTGTTGTCGATGTAGGGTGCGCCGTGCAGGGCGTTCTCCAGGGGGTGCATTGCCTCCGGTGTTACCATGCTGTCTAACAGCTCCTGACGGTCTTCCTCGATGGTGGACAGCTTGTAGAGGAACTCAAGCACAACTGTGTAGAAGGCGTCCTCGAGGTCCAGGAGCAGTAGTACTCCGCTGGTGTCCCAGTCTTCGTGATATGGATGTTGGTCAACGTGGTATGTGTTTCGAGATCTGTACTCCTGCTGGGTCGTGCTCCGCATTGAACGTCCCGTAGTAGCGTAACAATGACCTGGTTTAGTTTTGTCCGAAAGTACCTGTTGTGATGATGTGTGTCTACCGCGTTGTTCAACAAGATCATCCTCCTGTCTGCGAATTGCTTGCTGCTGGTCGCGCTCTCGGCGCATGATGCGTGCAAGAAGCTGCCGCTGTGGGAGAGATGTTTGCTGGTTGCCATCTGTGACTTGACTAGCAGCGGATGGTAAAGTCGAGCCATTTTTCGACTGGCGCTTTCGGCACAAATCGTCGGTGATGTTGTCGGGTCTCCCTTGCCTGATGGGTTTGGCGTCATGGAAGCTGGCGGCCAACTCGTCTTTGGTGACAAATGTTGGCGATGGGGGTGTCAACGTTGACGCGATGCCTGATGGCCTCCTTCGCGCTCCTCCTCCTCCTCTCCCTCCTCCTCCTCCTCCTCCTTGCCCTGCCTCCTGCTGTTCCTTCGGGCGCGCGTACAGCATCTGCCTCACCCATCCCCTCGCCCCCTCTCTCCGACCAAACCCCTGCTTCCAGGAACGCTCTCCTCCTTTCCTCGCCCTCCCAAGCAGATGTCCTCCCCTCCTCGCCCCCGCCACACAATAACCCTTGTCACGTTAGAACGGCCCCCCACCCCCTCAACACCGCCAAAGCCACACTTCTGCCCAAACTGCTGGGGCCAAGAACCCCTCCCCTCCTTCCTGCTCCCCCTCCTCCTCCTCCTCCTCCTCCTCCTGCTCCTCCTGCTCCTTCGCCTCCTCCTTCCCTCCTCCTCCCCCTCATCATCCTCATCCCCCTACTATCTCTCTCTCTCTCTCTCTCCCTTCGCCTCTCCATTCTTCCACTTCCTGTCCTTTTCCGAGTCCCTCTCCTCCCCCCCTGGCATCGCAATGGCACCGCCCTGTCCTCGACAAAGCGACCTTCGGTCACCAGCCGGTTGACGCAGTCATTGCCTCGGCGGTGGGTATCTTTGCAGGAAGGGCCGCACTAGATGAGGGAGCCCTTTCTCTTCTTCCTCGTCGCCCTCCTCCTTCTCCCTTTCCTCTCCTCAACGAGTCGAGGCCGCACCCCATAACAATCCTAGACGAGCGCGTTCCACTACTCGCAAAGTGACTACTCGCAGATGGCCTGGATCCGCCGCGGGGTATCTACGATCAACTCCATCAAGGCAAACATATGTTTTTTTTCGGACATTTGCGAGTAGGCACTTTGCGAATAGTGGAACGCGCTCGGTGAAATCCCTGGATCGATTTTGCGTAGTTGGCGGATGTGCGCTACAGCGCCAATGGCTGCTTATCTGTACTAGCCAGCCGCTCTGCGGTTGAATGGGGTCTTTCTGTACATAGAAGATCGGGCGTGCGCTTCTTGGCGATAGGAGAATTGGTCGAGAGGAAAATGAGCGTGAGGATCAGGAGGGCGAGGCTCGCGAGGGGGAGGATCAGGAGACTGAGGGTCACGTGGGTGAGGATCAGGCGAGCGTGGAGCAGGAGGATGAGGATGTGGAGAAGGAGGGCCAGGTGAGGATGTGGAGCAGGAGGGCCAGGTGAGGATGTGGAGCAAGAGGGCCGGACATGGTCCTTGGTGGTGCACTGGGGGCCCGTGGGGCGATGTTGCGAGGATGTCTCGAGCGAGAGCGCCAGATGGGGACACGCCCGGCGCAGCCCCAGAAATGGTCGGTGCGCTGGGGGCCCGTGGGGCGATGTTGCGAGGATGTCTCGAGCGAGAGCGCCGGATGGGGACAAGCCCGGCGCAGCGCCGGAAACGGTTCCTGGGGGTGCGCTGGGAGGCGACTTTCTTGCGTGAGTTCCACAGAAACTCTCGCAACTTATTTCTTCCATCGTGCTCGTTGTCCGATGCACATTGCCCCTTCGATTCTGGTCTCCTCGTTGTCGATTGCCAATCGTGTCGCCATTCATCGCCACGTGCACTGCAGCGAACAGCTGGGCACATTGCTCGTGCCTCCATTCTCCCGCCACGCTCCTCCGAGAAGTAACACCCCCGTGGGCAAGATCTGGTACTCTTCTCCGAGGGGGGGGGCGGCAGGAGATGGGCGGAGGGGAGCAGGCAGAGGAACGTGCAGCGGGGAGGCCGTCGGCAACGGCGGGGGGAGGGCATGGTGCCGAGGGGAGGGGATGGGGGAGCCAGACGGTGGGCGGGGGACCAGGGAGGAAGAGGTGGGGGACTAGGGAGGGGAGGGGGGGAGGGGGACCAGGGAGGGGAGGAGGGGGACTAGGGAGGGGGCTAGGGAGGGGAGGGGACTAGGGAGGGGGCCAGGGAGGGGGGAGGGGGACTGGGGAGGAAGAGGTGGGGGAAGGCGGATGCCCTGGGTAGCCAGCGCGCAGGGCTCCGGGAGGCCGCCGGAGGTCCCCGGCGGTGTCCCCCCGTGGAGGCCTCCCCAGCGGCATGACGAGCGATCGCAACGAGGCAACACGCGCAGACACCCCTCGCCGGTGGAGGAGGGGGCCGAGGCGAGCGGCAGCAGCGAGGCGTGGCGGCAGCAGCGAGGCGGCGCCGCGGCACGGCGCACCGCGGCAACCAGCATGCTCACAATCTCGATCGCAGAGGGCAAACGACCCAAAAATCCGAGCCGTGATTTCTTGACAGCGTGGATTCCGCAGGTCCAGGGCCTGGACCCTTTCCCTGGGACGGGCTCCTTCTGCCAACTGGGCTTTCGACGGTCCCGGGGCTCGGTGAGGGTCCCCGGAAGCCGGGAGCGGCTCCAACCCCCCCCCCCCTGTCGGGAGGAGGAGGAGGAGGAGGAGGAGGAGAGGAGGAGGAGGAAGAAGGAGGAGGAGGAGGGAGGAGGAGGAGAGGAGGAGGAGGGGAGGAGGAGGAGGAGGAGGAGAGAGGAGGAGGAGGAGGAGGAAGGAGGAGGAGGAGGAGGAGGAAGGAGGAGGAGGAGGAGGAGGAGGAGGAGGAGGAGGAGGAGGAGGGAGGAGGAGGAGGAGGAGGAGGAGGAGGGGAGGAGGCGGAGGCGGAGGAGGAGGAGGGGGAGGAGGAGGAGGAGGAGGAGGAGGAGGAGGAGGAGGAGGAGGAGGAGGAGGAGGAGGAGGATGATGATGAGGAGGAGGAGGAGGACGATGTTTCGCGACGAATAGGGGCTGGAGGAGGGCCGAGGCGAGCTGCAGCAGCACCGCACGGGGGCGACCGCCGCTTCGGCGGCCGCGCGCACGGCAGCAGAGCTGACCGACGGCACGTGCGCTCAAAGTCTCGCTCGTGGATGGCAGGATGGGGGCAGCAGGCCGATTGCCGATCGCCGATCGCCGAAAGCGCTCGAGCAGGAGCGTCGAAAGCTCGACAGTCGACCGTCGATCGGCGCCGCGCGCACGGCGACGGCGCCCGCGGCGGCAGCCGTGAGCTGAGGCCGCGGCTGCCCAGCGCCGCGGCGAGCTGCTCGCGCACGGCGCGCCCCATGGACACCGCGCCGCCTCGGAGTGCCCGGCCGCCCATCCCCGGCTGGCCGGCCGGCTGTTCCCCCCCTCGGGGGAGGAGGCCGAGCAGGAGGAGAAGGATGGAGGAGGGGAGGAAGGAAGGGCGAAGAGGAGAGAGGAGAGTGAGGGGGATGAGGAGTGTCTCGGATGGGGGCGGCGGATAGGGGAAGGATGAGGGAGAGGAGGGAGGGAGGAGAAGGAGGATATCGGGGAGATGATGAGTTAGCTACTGCTGCTGCAGCTGATGATGCTGCTGCTGATGTGACGATCATGCTGATGGTGATGACCATAGTTCTGATGATGGTGATGATGATGATGATGATGGTGGTGTGGGTGATGCTGATGGTGATTATGACAATAGAGTTGGTGATGATGCTGATGATAATGATGATGCTGCTGCTGATGATGACGATGACGATTATGATACGATGATGATGATGATGCTGATGATGATGATGACGATCGTGGTGGTGGTGGTGGTGATGGCGATGATGATGATGGTGATGATGATGAAGATGATGATGATGGTCATGATGATGATGATGATGATGATGATGATGATGATGATGATGGTCATGATGATGATGATGGTGGTGATGATGATACTGCTGCTGCTGATGATGATGCTGATGCTGGTGCTGCCGCTGCTGATGAGGATGAGGATGAGGATGAGGATGAGGATGATGATGATGCTGATGATGGTGATGATGATGACGACGATGATGATGATGATGATGATGAAGATGAAGATGAAGATGAAGATGATGAGATGATGATGATGATGATGATGATGATGATGATGATGATGATGATGATGATGATGATGATGATGATGATGCTGATGCTGATGCTGATGCTGATGCTGATGCTGATGCTGATGCTGATGATGATGATGATGATGATGATGATGATGATGATGATGATGATGATGATGCTGATGCTGATGCTGATGCTGATGCTGACGCTGCTGCTGCTGCTGGTGCTGGTGCTGGTGCTGGTGCTGCTGCTGATTTCAAAGGGTGCACATGTGACCCTGGCCCTAAGGCGAACCCAACGTTTGCCAGGAGGTCCAGAGGGCCATCCTGCCCCCCCCCGACCACCCCCAGACGAGGCCCAGAGGGCCCCCGAAGGCCCGAGGGCTCCAGAATGGCTCGAAGCGCTGTGGACACTTTGGGGCCAGGGCCACCTTTGGCAACTGCTGGCTTCTCCCCCTCCCGCGCGCCACCTCCCTCGCCCTTCCTCTCCCCTCGCCCTTCCTCCCCCCTCGTCCTCCCCGCCCCTGCCTCCTGCCTCCCCCCTTTCCCCCCTCCCTTGCTCCATCCTGCCCTCCCCATCCCTCGGAGGAGGAGCAGCGACGGACACGACGCGGAGAAAGGGGGCGGAGGGGGGAAGCGGAGAGGGAGGAGCAGCAGCGAGGAAAGGGGAAGGGGGAAACTGCAGGCATGAGCAGCGCCCGGGGTTCGCCCCGCCCGCGACTCGTGTCGCTCGCGGTTCGCTTCGCCCAGGGCTCGCTTCGCACGCGGTTCCCTTCGCCCGGGGGGGGGCTTCGCCCCAGGGTTGCTTCGCCAGGGTTCGCTTCGCCCGGGGGTCGCCTCGCCAAGGTTCGCTTCTCCTGTGGAGTCGCTCCCTGGTTGCGTGGCGCGTCCTCTCCCGCAGTTGATGAGGCTGGTGTGCTCGAAGCGCCGCTGACGGCACCACCACCGGCTTTTCGCCTCCCGGGACTTCGCCACCGGGCTCCCGTCCAAGGCGTACCTTTTCCTGCACTTCGACCTCGGCACCGCCTGATCCCAGGGCTTCGCCCTCTCTCGGCCTTGACGTGAGGCCCCGCCTTCTTTTGTCCCCCCTCTGCTAATTAAAGCTGTGCGCGGCCCGCTTAGCTTCTATCGGAAGAGGCTCGCTCTCGACCCGCGGATCAAACAAACAAAAAAACTGTGGGGGTCGCTTCGCCTGGGTTCGGCTCGGCTCGCCCAAGTCGCTCCGCCCTGTTCGCTTCGCCTGGTTCGCTTCGCCCAATGGTTCGCTTCGCTTCGCCCGGATTTGCTTCTCCCGGATTCGGTTCACCCAGAGTTCGCTTCGCCCGGGTTCGATTCGCCCAAGGTTCGCTTCGCCCGGGGGTCGCTTCGCCCGGGTTCGACTCGCTGGCAATGTTCGCTTCGCCCCAGGTCGCTTCGCCCGATTCGCTTCGCCCGGGGCTCGCTTCGTCCGATTGGCCTCGCCTGTGCTCGGCACGCTCGCTTCGCCCAGCTGGGGGTCGCTGCGCCCGCGGATCGCCTCGCCCGCGGTTCGCTTCGCCCGGCTTGCTCTGCCCGCGGTTCGCCGCGGCCACGGCCCGACTCGCCCCGGGTTCGCCTCGCGCGGGGCTCGCTTCCAGGGCGCCCCGCCGCCGGGGCGTCGCCTGGCCTGGGGCGGATCCTCCGCGCCTGCGCGCGCTACGCCTGTGCGCTATGCTGTGCTGGGGCTGGAGAGGCATGGGGCAGGGGCAAAGGTCTGCAACCTGCCCCCATGGAGGCAAGCAGGCAGAGAGCCGTGCCCGAACCAGCGTGCCGCGCGGGGCCGCAGGAAGGCGCAAGTCTTCCAGCCCTGCAGCTGATCCCGCTCACCCCCGTCAGGAAGAAGCAGGAAGCAGGGACGACGATGAAGCGTCAGACAGGCAGACCCTGGATAGCTGGCGGGCTTGGGGGAAAGGTCGGCCGCCGCGGTCGCCGTGGAGCGCTCTGGAGCGCTCCCAAGACGCTGCGGAACGCCCTTGGGCGAGGAGAAATGTCTGTCCTGGGTCTGCCTGGCAGGCCCGAGTCCCGCTATCCTGGAGAAATCCCTCCCCGTCCGAATCCGCCCGACGCGCGGGCAGCCCCGAGAGGGTCCAGAGAGCTGTGCGAGCGCGGCGCTGCGATCCCCCATCCTTGCGATCATCGTCCTCGCCACCCTCATCATCATAATCATCACCATCACCATCACAACTATCACCATCACAATGATCACCATCACCACCACCATCTCCATCATCATGATCATGATCATGATCATGATCATGATCATCATCATCACCACCACCATCACTCACCATCATCACCATCACCATCACCATCACACTACCACCTTCAAATCACCCTTATCCTCATCATCCTCATCCTCATCCTCATCATCATCCTCAGTCTCATCCTCAGTCTCATCCTCATCATCCTCATCTTGATTCTCCTCCTCATCATCATCACCAGCATCATCATTTGAATGATCTAAAACATCATCATTATCAGCATCCTCATCATCATACTTAATCTCCTCCTCCTCCTCCTCATTATCATCGTCGTCACCGGTGCCAGTGCCATCATCGTCATCATCATCATCACAATCACCATCATCAACATCGTCATCGTCATCGTCGTCATCATCATCATCGCCATCGTCATCGTCATCATCATCGTCATCGTCATCGTCATCGTCATCGTCATC